ACCTGTTGAACCACGAACAATCATAAAACACATGAAAACATCATAAAATATAGTATACGTATACATGTTATGGTTTAATAACAAATATGAACAATGGCAGAATTGCTCAAGTAACCTGTCCTACACTTGTCTAGCAATTTCACCTTCTCCAGATTCGTTGACTTCCTTTGAGCACATAGGGGTTGGCTCATCAATAGCAGTTGCTGCTTGCTTGGGGGTCATACTTGCACCACCACACACACACATGTACGGTAGGACACGAATAGTAACTGGACATGACTGATGCAAACAGTAACTGGACAATGACTGAGTGAGTGGTGGGCTGCCGGTAGAGGGGGTAAGAGGGAGGGTAGTAGGGACGAGGCAGGAAGCGTTTTCTCGTACTTTTTTCCTGCATTTGTTTGGTAAATATGATTGGGTGGCTGGGCATTCACAAATGTTCGTAGCTCGTGAAAGTGGAGGGGTAGCTGTACAGTATTTACATTACATTACATTATTTCATATACATATGATATAGAACATTTAAATATTAGCTAGGGATAAAAGTTTGGGGATGTAATTACAGTATAACTGAACCAAAAACAAATAAAAATATAAAACAAAATCTCCATTACCCATTTCTAAAAACTTAAAAATAAAAAAAAGTGTACACCAAAACAAAACTTGTTGAAGCACATGCTAATGGTCTCCCACTGTACTGGGATGCATACAATAGGTTTGGTACTTCTGTTCAAGGTGATATTTGTATATATCACCTGGAATAGAGCTGCCAGGCATACTGTTTCCATTACAGTACAGTACAGTGAAAAAGTTAGTCATGTTAATATGATTTTTCTGAAGCACATGCTAAAATTTGATAAAAGAAAAAGAAATAAACAGCTTTTAGGCACTGAGGTGAGCCTTCCTTTCTCTGTAACTCACTATAGACTTATAGATGTTGCTTCTAGATTTTTGTTAATACTGCATAAATGCATGAAATTGACTAGCAAACAATGAAATATTGACAAATAGGCTCAAATTTTTGGATGAGCACATGGCTTGTGCTGCACTTTACAGTAGAACAGTGGAATAGGTTATTGTTATAATATTCAAAAAAGATGCACTACATATTATGTTAAAAATTACATGAAAAGTGAAACACTGACAACAGAATAGAGATGACAAGTAACACTCCCTTGCTGGAACTATGGACAAGAAAATAATAATAATAATAAAAGAGTTCACATCACAATGATTCATAAAGATTTATTATTTTAATGTGAATAATTTGTTTCTAATGGGAGCAAGGGCTAGTAACCCCTTTTGTACAAATTACTAAATTTAAAAAGAGAAACTTGTTTTTCTTTTTGGGCCACCGTGCCTTGGCGGGATGCGGCCAGTTTGTTGTTGTTGAAATTGGTTTCTAAATAATTAATATTTGTTATCTATTGAAGGGGTAAAGTCACTTGCCACTAAAATGGGAAGGTCAAGCATAGATTCAGATAATAGAACATTAAGTAATCAGTAGTGTAATTACTGGCTAAGTACCTCTCAGGTGGAAGTTAGCCTGATTCAGGTGCAGTTTTCTACAACTTTCTCTTAGTTATGCTTTTCTTTATACAGCTTCCAAATCATGTCATTTTTCTTTACTACATATGAATGCCTTTGTATATTACAAAAGCAGTCATATGAACCTTAGTATTCCAGTTGATGTTACATTGCAAAATTATTGAGCATCTGTGAAATTAGTACATTAATATTTTTATTAGTACTGCAGTTTTTGAAGTTTTTGTCTTCTGTTAGCATTAATAATTTTTTAAAGTTTAAATACTGTATATACTGTTGGATATCAAACTTTTGTGAACTTTAAGAACTTTAGTATTAACCCTTTGACTGTCATGACCGTATATATACGTCTTACGAGGTACCGTGTTTGACGTATACTCATAAATTCTAGCGGCTTCAAATCAAGCAGGAGAAAGCTGGTAGGCCCACATGTGAGAGAATGGGTCTGTGTGGTCACTGTGCACCATATAAAGAAAAATCCTGGAGCACGCAGTGCATAATGAGAAAAAAAAAACTCCGACCCTTTTTTTTTTTTAATTAAAATGCCGAATTTGTGGTCTATTTTCGTATAGTATTTATGGGTGTATTCTCGTTTTCTTGGTCTCATTTGATAGAATGGAAAGCATATTATAGAAATAGAGGTGATTTTGATTGATTTTACTATAAAAAGAACCTAGAAATGGAGCTCAAAGTAGGGGAAATGTTTGATTTTTGCCAATGTTCAAAAGTAAACAAATGATGCCATTGTCCAATAAATGTCCAACTAGCCATTCTGATATGCAGTCATGAATGGGTTGATGTTATGTATACAATTATTACAGTATTGCAGTAGTCTGCATAATAGTAAGTTTTCTATTTTTTGTTTGAATAAAAATTCAAAATAGAAAGCAAGAGTAATATCAGAGGGGCCTGGAGACATGACTGATGAGCAAAGAAAATGTTATTTTAGAGCCAGGAATGTCTGCATTGTTCATTCTGGACCTTATTTTGAAAATGTCATATTTTTTAGTTTTCGTGAAATTGGCCAAATTGCAAATTTCTGACCACATTATTAGGTAGTTGAAATCGGTAAATGCGCAGTTTCTTGTACTCAATCGATAGAAAAAACGGAGTTCTAAAGAAATAGCTATGAGTTTGGGCGACTGGAACAATGGAATTAGCCGAAAATAGGGCTCAAAGTGGGCGAAATCGCCGATTTGTAAACAGCTCCGAGGTCGCTAACTTCGCAAGAGCATAATTCCGTCAGTTTTCCATCAAATTTCGTTTTTTTGGTGTCATTACAATCGGGAAAAGATTCTGTATCATTTCATATTTTTTTTTTTTTTTTTTTTTTTTTTTAAATTTTGCGACACCAGGAGACACTGCAGGATTGGGGGTTGCGACAGTCAAAGGGTTAATAATGCATTGTGATTTTTTTACAAGTTCAGAGGGTTCTTTAAATTACAATTATAGTTTGAAAAAATATGTTTGCCAGTGTTTTGTATTGATGAACTGTGTTGGAAGTGAAGAAATAGGTGAAAGTGCAAGACAGCTTTTATAAGAATAATTAGAATTGTAGATGATTAGTAAATAAAGAAGAGAGACAGAAAAAGGAAATGGTCAGACAATCAATTAATGATAACTTCATTTCTTTATTGGTCCTGGAATGTTAAGTCAAGCAAGATGATTATTATATTTAACCCTTTGAGGGTTTTCGTCGTACTAGTACGTCTTACGCGTAGGGGTTTTTGACGTACTAGTACTCATAAATTCTAGCGACCTCAAATCTAGTGGGAGAAAGCTGGTAGGCCTTCATATGAAAGAATGGGTCTATGTGGTCAGTGTGCACAGTCTAAAAAAAATCCTGCAGCACACGGTGCATAATGAGAAAAAAAAAACTTTTTCCATTTTTTTTTAATAAATCAGCGACTTTGCAGTGTATTTTCGTATAGTATTTATTGTTGTATTCTAGTTTTTCTTGGTCTCATTTTATAGAATGGAAGACATATTACTGAAATTAAGATGATTTTGACTGGTTTTACAATGAAAGGTGCCTTGAAATTGAGTCAAAGTAGCAGAAATGTTCGATTTTTACCAAACTTCAAAAGTAAACAAATCGTGCCAAGCGTGCAATACACGTCAACTGGTGAGTCTAATATTCTTTCACAAGTGCACCAATAATATTTATACCATTTTTTACACTAATGCAGTAGTCTGCATAACAGTAAATCTTATATTTTTTGTGAGAATAAAAATTCAAAGTGGAAAGCAAAAGAATATAAGAGGGGCCTTGAGACGTGACTAATGACTAGAGGAAATGTCATTTTAGTGCCAGGAATGTCTTTCTTGTTTATTCTGGACCCTATTCCGAAATTGGCATCTTTTGAAATTTGTGTGAAATTGGCAAAATTGCTAAATTCTGACCACTGTACTGGATAGTTGAATTTATAAATGGGTGGTTTCTTGCACCCATTCGATAGAAAAAATGGAGTTCTAGCGAAATATTCATGTTTTTTGTCGACTAGTACAGTGAAATTGGCCGAAAATGGGGCTCAAAGTGGGCAAAATCGCCGATCCGTAAACATCGCCGAGACCGCTAACTTTGCGAGAGCATAATTCCGTAAGTTTTCTATCAAATTTCAAACTTTTGGTGTCGTTATGATCGGGAAAAGATTCTCTATCTTTTCATAAGAGAAAATAATTTTTTTTTTTTTTTTAAATTTGGCCGACCCTGAGAACGAGTTTCGGAGAGGGCCTGTCGACCCTCAAAGGGTTAAGGGGAAGTGCTAAACCGTAGGGGTCATACAATGCATGAGAAATGGGAGGAAGTTAGGTTTGACCCAAGGAAGGGGAAAGTAGCTCAAATTCCCTGCATTTTAAGCCTCTCACAAAGGGTTCAGGAGATGATAGTATTAAAGGTTTGGTTATGTACAACAGTAAGTGTCTTATTGGTGTTTATAAGATGATTGTAGAGAAATGAATGTGGTGAGAGTAAAAGTTGAAACACTGCGATAACAAAATTATTATTATAATCAAAACTAACCGCTCAACCCACAAGGGTTGTACACTGCTGTATTAATATAATAACAAAAGAAACAGTTATCTAGACAACATATTTTACCTTGAGTGTGATAGCTAAGGAAATGTTAGGAAATACAAAGATGTAGCTACTTATTTGTTCAAGACAAGGTGACACATTTGACATCCTTTGGGGCATATTTTTTGCTTTTGAAGGTTGCTTTTTCCTGAATATTGTTGGTATATATTTGCCTTGAAAAGTGAGCACTAGCACTGTTTTGTTACATTTAACACTTTTCTTGTCACTGCTTCTCTTCGGAGTTTGGTTAATTTTCACATTTACATTATGATATACGTACACACCATCACATACGTATATATTGACTAATATTTGAAATAAGTATCTATTTTCACAGCATCAGTAACAAACTTGTACATTTATGTAACGTATCTTTCAGGAAGAAAAGAAAACCTTGAAAGAGAGATTGCAAGTTATACAAGAAGTAACAGCTACAGTTCAGAATGCAATAGGATTCATAGCATCCATTTGTGAGAGCTGCAAAAAGTAAGTTTTATTTGCTAAAAAGTAAAATTCACATATAGTACACTCATTACTTTGAAATACGTACAGTGGTACCTCAAGTTTCAAACAGCTCCCAACTCGAACAATTATGTAAGTGTATTTTTGTAAGTGCTTTTGCGAGTGTATTTTTGGGGGCCTGAAATGGACTAATCTAATTTACATTATTCCTTATGGGAACAAATTCGTTCGGTATCAGCACTCGAGCAGCCTTCTGGAGCGAATTAAATTCATAACTCGAGTTACCACTGTACAGTGGACCCAGGTTTACGATATTATTTCATTCCAGAAATATGTTCAGGGGCCAGTACTGACCGAATTTGTTCCCATAAGGAATATTGTGAATTAGATTAGTCCATTTCAGACCCCCAAACATACACATACAAATGCACTTACATAAATACACTTACATAATTGGTTGCATTGGGAGCTGATCGTAAACCAGGGGTCCACTGTATTTTTTAGTCTTATTGTAGGGTGAGAGGCAAGTAGTATTTAAGTCTGCCCAAAATGCTCAGGCATGCTAATGGCTTTCTTTGTGTTTAGCATTACATATTTTATGACATATAAATCATACATTGTATATTATACAAAAAAATAAAAATTTGAATTTGAAGTCAGATGTGGTAGCCTGCCTGGCTACCATACCTCACAATTGTGTTTATTTGTTTTACTATGATTGTATATAGTATTTTCTTTATATGACATGTAGCGTATTTCTTGTTTAATTTCGAAAAAAATTTAAAGTGCCCCAGAGCGATTATTGTTATTATTATTATTTTGATGTTTATTGCCATCAACATACCTAATTCACTGGGTTTAAAGATGGATTAATGAAATGTTTGTAAAAATATAATGTACTATACAACATTTAAAGTGCCTCAGAGTGATTGTTATTATTATTATTATTGCATCTTCAAGACTAGTAAGACACAGTGATTTTAATGTGTACCTGCACGCCAGCACTGCGTGTAAGTTTATTTAGATACAGGTACACATAAGTACAATTATCAGAGTATATATAAAATATGCAGTAACTATAAAACAGTTTAAATTTTGGAAATATTCCATACATAATCATTAGACATGGGGTTCATGGAGAACGTAAAAAGAACGATGCTCGGACACCAAAATGCGAATAACCGTAAAGCAGGACCCTCCTGTATTTTGCTCTCTTCACTGTTTAAGATAAATTTATTTACAGTAGTTTAATCAGGAGGAAGTACTGCATTCATACGGGTCATGTAGTGTTTGCGGAATTCAAATTCAAAATTTATTTCCACATGATACACTGTGAATGGAGGGCATTCAGGATTGATCCAAGAAAGGGGAGGATAAGTTCAGTTCCTTGGATCAGGAGTCGCTCCCCAGCATCATTCCTTGTGGGACTAAACCAGATAAAGCCATTATTTTGTTGAACATTTTCTCTTTGTTTTATGTATATTGAAATAGTTATTTCTTTATATGCTTTCTTACTTTAAATAAACCTTTTCACATATCTTTTTGCAGTGTCTTCTAGATTATGTCCAACAATCATTATCATTAATTTCTTCATATTGTTTGATTTATAATTTTGTATATGAAATATTTGGCACACTTTTACATAAATATAAGATTTTTATACAACTATCTTTACTTAACAAAATTCAGTGACATTCTTTGTAAAACTAATAGATAATTTATTTAAAATAACACCTAACTAGATAAATAAAGCTTTTTAACAAAAGTAATAGATTTAAACTATGTTTAAGTGCATATTCAGGTGGACAAGTCATTTAAATTATTAATGTTCTTCCACTTTTCTTGCACAGTACATTCAACTTCTCGGTGCCATTCTTATCATGGTTGTTGATCTTGGTGCTGTTGGTGGGGATAGTGATACTGTATTACATCCCCATCCGCTACTTGGTTATGTTGTGGGGAGTCAACAAGTTCTCACGCAAGTTGATCCGCCCACACTCCGTGATTAACAACGAAATATTAGACTTCTTATCTAGAGTACCAGATGATGAAATATTGGTAAGACTTTCTGTAGAAATTCTTAGGGTAATGAATGTTGTAGTTCAGTTAATATTTTTCTACATTTTTTAATTTAAGGAATAATTAATAATTCTAAAGGTTGTTCAGATCTGACCTCTTTTTACCAAGCCCCCAGGTTAAACTAACTCATCTTCCCTAGGATGATGAGTTAGTTTGAAAAAGTAATATATTACGTAAACTATAGCTTCATATATGAAAGCATGTTCATGGTGTTGTCAGTGAAATTAGATTAATTATTATTATACGTACAGACGCTACCCTACTTACGAACATTCGAGTTACGAACATTCGGACATATGAACAGACTGTACAATTGTAATTGTACCAATTAAAAAAGTAAGAAGTGTTTTTTATTACAGTATTAAAATATGCTTATGCTTTAGTATCAACCCTTTCAGGGTTGGTGTCGTTCTAGTACGGCTTGCGCTCCAGGGTTGGTGCCATACTAGTACACTACGCATAAATTCTAGCGGCTTCAAATTAAGCAGGAAACAGCTGGTAGGCCTAGATGTGAGAGAATGGGTCTGCATGGTCAGTGTGCACGGTAGAAAAAAATTCTGGGACCCAGTGGCGCATTGTGGGAACGCCATTTTAGTAGATCTTGTTCATTATGCCTCGTGGTAAGAAGCTCCTCACTCCTCAGCGAATTGGGACACTTTGTTCCCCAGTGACTGTTCTAATACAGATGGAAGTGCCAGTGAAGATGAGTTTCAAGGTTTTGGTGAGGTTGTGACCGAAACTAATGACCATAATACCGGTGATAGTGAGGAAAACCCAGACGACCCTCAGCCTTCCACCTCTGCTGCTGGGCCGTCTTGTTCACGTTCAGTTGTACCAGAATCAAAGAGGAAACTCCTATTTTCCCATATCCTGGACTCTGATGTGAGCATTGGTGATGATAGTGAATATGAACTACAAGCTCTTGAAAACAGTTCCAGTAGTTATAGTGAAGTGGAATATTCTCCAGTGAAGCGTCAGTATATACAACGATATATGCACTCTGGTAGTGTGCCATGTGCTATTCCAAGGGGAAGGAGTACATCTTGGAATACATCCCGTGGCTGTACAACAGGAACAGACAGTGAAAATGAAGATTATAGTGTTGCAGTTGGGATGGAAAATGTGCATGGTGGTGGTAGTGGTGGTGCCGGCCGTGAGGCACCAGCATTGGGCCATGCTGCCACCCACGCCGCTGCCTCAGCTGATCTACAACAAAGGCCACCATCTCCCACCCACCCACCACACCAGCCTCCACAACCACAACCACCTGTCAGTATCCAGTACCCACCAGCAGACCGTACCTGGGATTGGCAGGAAGCTGCCAATTTTGTTCCCAGTCCCCATCACTTTAATGAAAGTCAAAGTGGAATACGGCCATCTTGTACACTTGGGAACAATGCCAGTGAACTGGAATGTTTCAAGTTATTCTTTGATGAACCCCTGATGGAAATTATCGTAAGGGAAAGCAACAGATACTATGAGTACACCATGGCAAACACAATACTTTCACCAAACTCAAGCCTACACCAGTGGAAGGAGAAAACTGTGGCTGAGATGTATCTTTTGTTTGCCACAATAATGCTTATGCCACATGTGTATAAGCACAGTGTGAAATCATACTGGTCAACAGACCGCCTGATTGTAACCCCAGGTTTCAGTGATATAATAGGAGTGAATCAATTTGTGCTACTATTATGTATGCTTCACGTCTCAGACGAAACCAGGCTTGACAGAAACAACAGGTTATACAAGATTAGGAATGTGTTCATGTACCTGAAACAGAAATTCAATATGTATTTTTATCCCTTCAGGAAGCTTGTTATTGATGAGTCTTTGATTCTGTTCAAAGGAAGACTCTCATTCAAGCAATACATACCAAGCAAGAGGAAACGCTTTGGTATAAAATTGTTGCGCTTTGTGATTGTTACAGTGGTCTTGTATTGGATATAATTGTGTACACTGGAAGTAATACATTGCGAGATAAAAGGAAGTTACTGGGTATCTCCGGTGATGTGGTTAGGACAATGATGGAACCATATCTTGTAAGGGACATATTTTATATACTGACAACTGGTACACAAGCCTCTTACTCAGTGATTTTTTTGCGAGTGTACATGACAGATGTGTGTGGCACAGTGCGTGCAAATCGTAAACACATGCCCAGGTTCGATGCTGGCACCCGTAGAGGTGAGGTGCAAGCCTTTGCTGCCAATGACATCATGGCATTTCGGTGGCATGACAAACGAGATGTCACACTGTTGTCATCAGTTCACCCTAATGAAATGGCAGACACTGGCAGGCAGCATAGAGAAAGCAATGAGCCCATTCTAAAACCTGCAGCTGTGATTGACTACACCCTCAATATGCGTTCAGTGGACATATGTGACATATAGATTGGGTTTGCAAGAGTTATAAGTGGTACATAAAACTCTTTTTCCATCTTCTGGACATTTCCATGCTCAATGCTTATAATATATATAAGATGAGGACCAGAAACAAACCACCATATGGTGAATTTTGTCTGTTATCAGACAAATAATAATCAAGCACCAAGGAACAGCACCTGCAATAGAAAACCACCCACGTAATTATCAACAACTACCTTCTTGTCTGAAGCATGGTGATCACTTCCTAACAAAACTGCCTGCTACTGCTTTCAAGAAAAAGGCTCAGAAGAGGTGTTACATCTGTGCACATACAAAAAATGCCCACAACAACGCAGAGACACTAATTTTCTGTGTGAGAAGTGTAAAACACCACTGTGCATGACACCATGTTTCAAAGACGTCCACAGGCTGCAGAGCTTCTAAAAACATGTCCTGTGACTGTATATGTGTATATAAAATATAGAAAAATAGTAATAAACAACATTTTGTATTGTTCGTTTGTGTAAATATTTTTCGTAAACAAAACAGTGACAACAGTGTGTATGCAGTTATTGTGTAGTATAGAAAAAGAAATAACTTACAAAATAGTGATCATATTGGTCTCACAGGCCATAAAAGTTACTTGGAAAAAAAATTAAAAAATAATAGAAAATAGTACCTAAATTAATAAATAAAGTAATACCAGGTGACCGGCAGTCGGTGATGTTACCGTATGCCGGTCATTTTCTGTCAACTTCACGCCTCCATATCTTGGTAAGTATTGATGGTAAAAAATTTTTGTTTAGGCTACAAAATTCAAAAAAAAAAAAAAACACTTATCTTTTCATAAGAATTTTTTTTTTTTTTTTTTTACCGACCCTGAGAACAGGTTTGGGAGAGGGCCTGCCGACCCTGAAAGGGTTAAGAGCCATACATACTGATGCTGTACAGTATTGTCTTTAAGTTTTCAACGAACAACACCACAGAGAGAGAATAATAATAATAATAATGATAATATTAAAAACAATAATAATAATCATAATAGAAAAATTGATAAATAATGACTTACGAACAATTCAAGATAGAAACAGCGTTCTGGAACGTAACTTGTTCGTAAGTTGGGGGGGCGTCTGTACTTATATCACAAGAAAATACTACACAGTACAGCATCTTCACTTAACGACGGACTTCCGTTCCTAAGACCACGTTGGTAAATGAATTCATCGTTAAGTGAGGAGCATACTATAATGGTAGAGGGTTTGTGTCAACCATCGTTGATACTACATATTTTAATGTCAACTTTGCACCATTTATAACATTTTTAGTAGTATATTTTTAAATATACAGTATACAGCACACTACTGTATAAACAAACAGAATAGAGGAAATTAGCTCTGATATACAGTGGACCCTCGACCAACGATATTAATCCGTTCCCGAGAGTTCATCGTTAATCGAAATTATGGTTAGTCGAGTTAATTTCCCCCATAAGAAATAATGGAAATCAAATTAATCCGTTCCTGACACCCCAAAGTATTGAAAAAAAAAAATTTTTACCACATGAAATATTAATTTTAATACACACAAACTGAAGAAGACATGCACAGTTACATGACACTTACCTTTATTGAAGATCTGGTGATGATTGATGGGATGGGAGGAGGGGAGAGTGTTGATGGTGTTAGTGTTTAGAAGAGGAATCCCCTTCCATTAGGACTTGAGGTGGCAAGTCCTTTTCCGGGGTTACTTCCCTTCTTCTTTTAATGCCACTAGGACCAGCTTGAGAGTCACTGGACCTCTGTTGCACAACATATCTGTCCATAGAGGCCTGTACCTCCCATTCCTTTATGACATTCCTAAAGTGTTTCACAACATTGTCAGTGTACAGGTTGCCAACACGGCTTGCAATAGCTGTATGATGGTGATTTTCATCAAAAAGGTTTGCACTTTAAGCCACATTGCACACATTTCCTTAATCTTTGAGGTAGGCAACTTCTTCAATTTCTCTATCCCCTCCTCCAAAGCAGTTTCCTCAGGTGTGGCCTCTTGCTGTTGAAGATGATCTAGCAGCTCATCAGTGGTTAGTTCTTCATTGTCCTCCTCCACCAACTCTTCCACATCCTCCCCACTAACCTCCAGCCCCAAACCATACCACGGGCAGGATTTGAACCCGCGGTCAGAGAGTCTCAAAACTCCAGACCGTCGCGTTAGCCACTGGACCAGCTAGCCACAATAAGATTCGTCCAACTAGGTATATTTCTACACCATAGGAAGGTTAACATAGGTACCACTGTGACTACAAATGCAAGTTTTTACAGATGAATCTCCAGCTAGCGTGGCCATGACGAACTCTAGCTCAAGTACTGTCACTGCTGTCAACATGTCTCACGAAATCGTAATGACACGATTGCAAACAAACCATACCATGGGCGGGATTTGAACCCGCGGTCAGAGAGTCTCGAAACTCCAGACCATCGTGTTAGCCACTGAACCAGCTAGCCGCAATAAGATTCGTCCAACCCCAAGGACTTTCCCAATGCCACAATGGATTCCTCAACTGGCATAGGATTCCCAGGGTTAGCCTCAAACCCTTCAAAATCCCTTTTGTCTACACATTCTGGCCACAGTTTTTTCCAAGCAGAGTTCAAGGTCCTCTTAGTCACTTCCTCCCAAGCCTTACTATACGTAATGTTTACACAATTGAGGATGCTAAAGTGATCTCTCCAAAACTCTCTCAGAGTCAATTGAGTTTCTGAGGTCACTACAAAGCACCTTTCAAACATAGCTTTTGTGTAGAGTTTTTTGAAGTTTGCAATGACCTGCTGGTCCATGGGCTGCAGGAGAGGAGTGGTATTAGGAGGCAAACACTTGACCTTAATGAAGCTCATTTCCGCAGAAAGTCGCTCTGCCAAGTCTGAAGGATGACCAGGAGCATTGTCTAGTACCAGGAGGCACTTAAGGTCCAATTTATTTTCCAGGAGGTAATTTTTCACAGTGGGGGCAAATGCATGGTGTAACCAGTCATAGAAAAAGTCCCTAGTGACCCATGCCTTACTGTTTGCCCTCCACAGCACACACAAATTAGCCTTGAGGACATTGTTTTTCCTGAACACACTGGGAGTTTCAGAGTGATACACCAATAAAGGCTTCACTTGCAATCACCACTAGCATTAGCACACATCAGAAGAGTAAGCCTGTCTTTCATAGGCTTATGTCCTGGGAGTGCCTTTTCCTCCTGAGTAATGTAGGTCCTGCTTGGCATTTTCTTCCAAAACAGGCCTGTTTCATCACAATTAAACACTTGTTCAGGTTTCAGTCCTTCACTGTCTATGTACTCCTTGAATTCCTTCACATACTTTTCAGCCGCTTTTTGGTCCGAACTGGCAGCTTCACCATGCCTTATCACACTATGCATGCCACTACGATTCTTAAATCTCTCAAACCAACTTTTGCTGGCCTTAAATTCACTCACATCACCACTAGTTGCAGGCATTTTTTTAATTAAATCGTCATGCAACTTCCTAGCCTTTTCACATATGATCGCTTGAGAGATGCTATCTGTTTTTCATTTATCCACACCAATAAAAGTCTCTCAACATCTTCTATCACTTGCGATCTCAGTTTCGAAAACATAGTTGCACCTTTGGCAAGAACAGCTTCCTTGATTGCCGTTTTCTTGGCCACAATAATAGCGATGGTTGATTGGGGTTTTGTGTACAACCTGGCCAGCTCGGAGACACACACTCCACTTTCATACTTAGCAATGATCTCTTTCTTCATATCCATAGTAATTCTCACCCTTTTTGCTGTAGGGTTGGCACTAGAAGCTTTCTTGGGGCCCATGGTGACTTATTTTGCAGGTGCAATCACTAAAAACACTGTGATAGTATGAAATGTTCCGATTGTATGTTTGGATGGGGCCGCGGTGGCTGGCTGGCTTGTAAACACTGGCACCCCACGGGACAAGTGAGGCGCGCTCAGGCCACATGTGGACGCATCTCGAATGGAACGAATCGTGTTGGTCGAGTCTTTTAGCGCTAGTCGAGGCAAAATTTTTGCGTTAAAATGTATCGCTAGTCGGATTTAACGTTATATGATGCCATCGTTGGTCGAGGGTCCACTGTACATTATTTAGGTTTGTATACTGGTCAGAGAGCCCATCGTAAGTCCGATTCGTCTCTAAATGAGTACGTCACTGAGGAGAGGCTGTATACACAGTGCTCGTGCTCATCATTAAAGAATACCAAACCCCCCCACACCCCCCTTGTTTTCCCCAAACCATGACCACAGAATACCTCATCCCTTACACTTTAGGATATCTTTCAACCATCTAAGAAGTAATTAACACACACTTCAGGGCTTCACAGGTTAAATTCTTTCATGACTCAAGTCCCTATCTGGGGTTACTTCCTTTCTTTGACTTTTACTGGCACTAGGACCAGCTTGAGAGTCACTGGACCCCTGTTGCACAAAAAATCTGTTTCTGGCATCTCTAAGATTTGCCTAAAATGGTACAAGGCATTGTCATTGAACATGTTGCAGACATGGCTTGCAACAGCTTTGTTAGGGTGATATTTCTCCACAGAGCTTTGCAACTCCCTCCACTTTACACACATGTCATTAATCACTGAAGAAGGCATATTCTCCCCTTTCTTCCTCCTCTGAAGCAATTTCCTAAGTTGCAATCTGTTGCTGTTCTAGTTGAAGGTGTTGCAGCTCTTCAGTGGTAGCTCTTCCCTGTAGTCGTCCACCATCTCTTCCACATCCTGGCCACTCACGTCCAATCCTATGGACTTCCCCAAAGCCACAATAGATTCCACAACAGGCATAGGGTTGTCAGGGTTGGCCTCAAATCCTTCAATATCCTTCTCTTGGACACATTCTGGCCATAATTTCTTGCCTTCTTTATCAAAGGGCTGTCACTCGGAACTTACTTTGGTCTCATTGTGGCTTATTTAGCAGTCGCACTCAATAAACAAGCACAAAAAACAATGGATTATTATGAAATGTTTTGTATGAAAGTGCAGGGTAATGTTCACTCAACAAGAAACAAAGCCAGACTGACTTAAAACGCTTGCATGGGATGCTTTGTGTGGGAGCGGGCAGGCAGACATGTTCAGTACAGCGGATGAAAACCTAGGTGATGAACGAAAACTGGGACAAAATTTTGACAAAAGAAGTTGTTGAAAATTGAATTTGACGAAAACCAGGGCAAATGAAAACCAAGGTTCCGCCGTACCTTAAAATATTTTTGTCCTCAGCTTATATTAAGTGCTGAATATATTTATTGTAGGAAGTCTGAATAAATAAAGAATGGGCACACTTGAGTCTCTGAATTAGCAGAATGCCGTAAAGCAGGGCCTGCCTATATATAGACAGTGCCAGTATGTACAGTGCTCTAAATAACAAAAAAAAATATTTATACCTTTAATCTAACAGGCTTTTTACCATTTATGTACCTAAGTTATGCTATATTGGCTTG